CCTTTTCATGTACCTTAGGCCATTTGTGTATCTGCTTTGGAAAAATGTCTATTCAGTTCCTCTGCCCATTTATTAATTGGTTTGAGTTTTCTTCTATGAGTTGTACAAGTCCTTTATATATTTCAGATATTAACCCTTTATCAGATATATGGTTTGCAGATGTTTTCTCCCATTCCACAGGTTGCCTTTTCATTTTGTTGATGGTTTCCTTTCCTGTGTATAAACTTTTCAGTTTGATGTGGTCTTACTTGTTTATTTTTGCTTTTGTTGCTTTTGCTTTTTGTGTCAAGTCCAAAAAATCATTGCCAAGACTGATGTCAAGGAGCTTACCCCCTATGTTTTCCTATAGGAATTTAACTGTTTCAAGTCTTAAACTTAAATTTTTAATCTATTTTGAATTGATTTTGTATGTAATGTAAGACAAGGGTCCAGTTTCATTCTTTCGTATGTGGCTGTCCAGTTTTCCCAGCACTATCAAAGAGACTATCCTTTCCCTATTGTATATTCTTGGCTCCTTTGTCATAAATTAATCAAGCATATATGCATGGGTTAATTTCTGGGCTCTCTTTTCTATTCCATTGATATATGTGTCGAGTTGTTTGTTTTATTATTGAGTTGTTTTTTTTTAAGATTTTTTTATCTGTTTACTTGACAGAGAGAGATAGTGAGAGCAGGAACACAAGCAGGGGGAGTGGGAAAGAGAGAAGCAGGCTTCCCGTGGAGCAGGGAGCCCGATGCAGGGCTCGATTCCAGGACCCTGGGATCATGACCTGAGCCGAAGGCAGACGCTTAATGACTGAGCCACCTGGGCGCCCCTATTATTGAGTTTTAAGAGTTCTTTGTATATTTGGGACACCTGGCTGACTTGGTCAGTGGAGCATGTGACTCCTAATCTCAGGGTCATGACTTTGAGCCCCATGTTGGGGGTAGAGATTACTTAAAAAAATAAGTAATTTTTTAAACTGTTCTTTGTATATTTTGGATACCTTTTTCAGACGTCTTTTGCAAATATTTTCTCCCAGTATGTGGCTTGTCTTTTCACTTTCTTGACCATGTTTTTCACAGAGCAGAAGTTTTTAATTTTAGGGAAGTCCAGCTTATTAATTCTTTCATGCATGGATCATGTCTTTGGTATTGTATTTACAAGTCTTTGGCAAATGTGGGGGTCATCTAGATTTTCTCCTATTTTATTTTCTAAGAGTTTTTTTTTTATAGCTTTGCATTTTACATTTAGGTCTATGATCCGTTTTGAGTTAATTTTTTATGAAAGGTATAAGGGCTGTATCTAAATTTTCTTTGCATGTGGATATCCAGATGTTTCAGCACAATTTGTTTCAAAGACTATGTTTTCTTCATTTTATTGACTTTGCTCCCTTGTCAAAGATCACTTGACTGTAGTTGAGTGAGTCTATTTCTGGGCACTCCATTCCATCCCATTGATCTATTAGTCTTTTCCTTTGCCAATACCACACGATTTTGATTAGTGTAGCTTTACAGTAAATCTTGAAGTTGGGTAGTGTCAGTCCTCTGACTTTGTTCTTCTCCTTCAATATTGTGTTGTCTATTCTGGATCTTTTGCCTTTCCATATAAACTTTAGAATCAGTTTGTCAATATCCATAAAATAACTTGCTCAAGCTTTTATTGAGATTGCATTGAATATAGAGATCAAGTTGGAAAGAACTGACATTTTGACAATATTGAGTCTTCTTATCCATGAACATGAATATCTCTCCACTTATTTAGTTCTTTTTTGATATCTTTCATCATAATTTTATGTTTTTCTTCATATAGATCTTATACATATTTTGTTAGATTTATACTTAAGTATTTTAGGGGTACTAGTATAAATGGTACTGTGTTTTTAATTTCAAATTCCATTTGTTCATTGCTGATATATAGGAAAGTGATTAACTTTTGTGTATTAATCTTTATCTTGCAACACTGGTGTAATTACTTTTTTGTTCCAGGAGTTTATTCGTCACTTCTTTTGGATTTTCTCCATAGAAACTTATGTGGTCTTGAACAAAGACAGTTTTATTTCTTCTTTTCCGATCTGTATACCTTTTATTTCCTTTTATTGTTTTATTTCATTAGTTAGAACTTCTAGTACAATGTTGTATTGAGAGAAGAGGGGGAATCCTTGCCCTGTTCCTGATCTGAAGAGGGAAAACTTTTAGTTTCTCATCATTAAGTATGATGTTAGCTTTGGGATTTTGTGTAGATATTTTCTATCAAGTTGAGGAAGTTCCCCTCTATTTCCTACTTTGCTGAGAGTTTTTCTTATTAATGGGTGTTGAATTTTGTCAAGTGCCTTTTTAAAAAGTTAATTAATTTTTTTTTTAGTAAGCTCCACGCCCAGCATGGAGCCCAACGCAGAGCTTAAACTCACGACCTTGAGATCAAAACCTGAGCTGAGATCAAGAGTCACACACTCAACCGAGTGACCCAGGCACCCCAAATGCTTTTTAAATATCATTAATATGATCATATGATTTTTCTTCTCTAGTCTGTTGATGTGATGGTTTACATTATTTGATTTTCATATGTTGAAATAGCTTTGCATGTCTTGAATAAATATCACTCGGTTGTGTATAATTCTTTTTATATATTGTTACATTCAATTTGCTAATATTTTGTTGAGGATTTTGCACCTATGTCATGAGAGATCTTGGTCTGTGGTTTTCTTTTCTTACAATGTCTTTGTCTGGTTTTTGTATTAGGATGAGATTTTAGAGAATTGGCATAATTTCTTCCTTAAATGTTTGGTAGAATTCACTTGCGAACCTGCCCAGACAATATAGCCAGTTTTTAAAATGAATTTTCTTCAGTTTTCATCTCAATGAGGTATTTTATTAATTTCTTTGTATCATGAGATAGTAATATTACACTGAACTTCTTTGAAGGTATTCTACACAGTCTAAACTGTGTTCACGAGTGCTGAGACAAAATAATTAACTCTGGTATTTAGTCCCAACCTTGCAGCAACTTTATTCTTCTCAGCTAGGTGAGTGTGAGAGACTTGGTGTGTTACATATGAGAGTCCTTTGAACTGAGAGTAGGTGAATGTCCAAGTCTCCAGGAGACCATAGATAAATAAAATCTTAAAAAAGAAAAAACCCAGGGCGCCTGGGTGGCTCAGTTGGTTAAGCGACTGCCTTCGGCTCAGGTCATGATCCTGGAGTCCCGGGATCGAGTCCCATGTCGGGCTCTCTGCCTCTCCCTCTGACCCTCTTCCCTCTCGTGCTCTCTATTTCTCATTCTCTCTCTCTCGAATAAATAAATAAAATCTTAAAAAAAAAAGAAGAAAACCAAAAAACAAAGAGGTTAGCTAATTTGCCCAATTTCACACTATAAATTCAGGAGTCAGGGTCTGAATCTTGATCTTGTTCCTCTAAAGTCGTGTCCTTTCAAGTCATTACCAAGCTGCTCATAAAGGGGGAAATACAGAGCTGCTTGTTTCTAAAAGTATCTAAGACAGAGCCAGTGTTGAGAAACAAGAGCACAACATGCATGGCCTTTGGTAATGGGTTGACCTAGCATAGAACATATTTACCTCCAAATTTGGATAGAACTTGAACTAATTATTTAGTCCATGTGAGTCCTTACAAACTTCAAAGTTTGTATAACACCTGCCTCACAAAATCATTAACCTTGTATCCTGCAACATATCTAGTACTGTACCCAACACATAGCAGGGTTAGGTAAATGATAATGCCTTTCACCCCTTGATCCTGTGATCTATGCTTAATATTCTTGCAAAACAAGTAGTTATAAACACCCCAGTGCATCTATTTTTCTAAAAAATCAGAAAACTTCAATGTAACAGATTTCTCTAAATAAGGTTAAATTATATAAAAAGTATACTAAAATGTCTATATTTATTTAGAACTTGTGTTTCATTTTCTCTAGATCTCTGCTGGGACAGTATTTGATGTTTGGTCACATATGCCTACCATTTGTGTGGGAATCATTTTCTGATGCCCTCAATGGTAATATATGATCTGATAAATATGAATGTTCTGTGAGATCAGGGAGACAAAATTTAGAAATTGGGCTTATTTTATAAAATCCAGGCTCTATATCATAATAATGAACCATAGTGTGCAGTATGTTGTGTTGGCAATGAGCAGAGTAGGCAATAAGAGGTATTGTCATAAGAGGTGTGGGAAAGCAGTTTGCCCAAAGCGCTCACTCTTCATCAAGCTTCTTTATTGCCCAAATTCCACAGCACTCTTGGCATTCCCATATCCTATGATCTGGGGAGAACCAGTCTTGGGAGAGGTTATAGATCAAGTCATTCATTGTATCAGGCAATGAAAAATAGAGTTTATTGGTCTTTTCCTGAAAGCAGATTATTAATAGGATGGCAAGAGAAAAGGACAAGAGAGCAAAAGATGGAATGCAAATTTACTGTTTCACAGATGACTAGTATTTTTTTTTTAAGATTTTATTTATTTACTTGACAGAGAGAGACACAGTGAGAGAGGGAACACAAGCAGGGGGCATGGGCATGGGAGAGGGAGAAGCAGGCTTCCCGCGGAGCAGGGAGCCCGATGTGGGGCTTGATCCCAGGACCCTGGGATCATGACCTGAGCCGAAGGCAGCCGCTTAACTGACTGAGCCACCCAGGCGCCCTCACAGATGACTAGTATTAATAAGGAGGGGATTTGTATGCAGAAATAGCAGAAAATACCTATTTCTTTTCTTTTTAAAAAGATTTTATTTTTAGTAATCTCTACACCCAACACGGAGCTCAAACTCATAACCCCAAGATCACGAGTCACATGCTCCACTGACTGAGCCAGCCAGGTGCCTTGAAAATACCTGTTTCTGACACGTGTAATGGGAGTTTTCACCGAATGGATGGGAATATAGTTGCTGAAATGTCCTCATCTACATATAATAGTTACCAGTAGAGTAATCTTTGGGGGAAAGTTACACTATCTTAACCTTTTAAATTAATATGCCTCGCTTTATTTAATAGGGCTAACCATAAGAAATGAATTTTAATGTCTGGAATATCAAAGAGATGCTCAGTATTCCCTCAGGCTCTGGGTAAGTTTTCTGGTTATAAACTCTGATACTGAGGATCTTATAGTTGTGTTGATTTCATAGAAAAAGTCTCCCCTTCCTATTAGTTAATTAGTAATAGAGTTACTTCTATAGCTTCTTCCCCTTCTCCTCCCTTCCTTTCACTGCTCTCCCATCCTTGTCTTTTTCCTTTTGCCTATTTTTCGATTATAAAAGCAATGTCAATTCAGCTATGTGTGTTAACTGAGCAGTGGCTCTGTGTCCAGCACTGGGCCTAGGGACTATGGGGCCTGTGAGAATTAGACATGGCCCAACATCTAGAAACTCACCTTGGTTGGAGCGATTGCTATTGAAACAGCAGGGAGCAATATCAAGACAATGTTCAGATACATATTCAGTTGTGTAGTACCATTTGTAGGTACTGTGGAGTTAAGAGCCACTCCAGCTGTTGATAAGGCTTACTAAGATATTGCCCCTTCTACTACTCCACTGAAGTATTTACATTTCTGTCTGCCAGCCATGCAGTGGGCCTGCCATTGCTAACTTGATGGATGTGCCCCAGAAGTAGTATATATTTAAGGGATTTCTAATTGCTTTTGGTATGTTTTATTATTGGATAGTTTATTTTCTTCCTAACACCTTCCTAAAGACGGTTATTAATTCAATTAAAAACCTAGAGCACTGTGCTTTTTATCTCTTAAAAAGAAAAAAAATGCTTGCAGTTGATACAGAGTAGGGAAAAATCTATCTTTGTTAAATTCTAGATCATAGCTTTAAGATGTAAATCCTACGTAATTTTTATAAGCTCACAGTTTTTTTTTTTTTCCAGCCCAGCTAATTATTCTCTTTGACCTAAGAGGGGAGACTCAGAGAGCTATTTAAGCTATTTTGAGCAATGATTATGCAACCCATATTATAATACATGTGTGCAGCCCATTACCTTAGCTAATCTTAGAAAATGGTTCTATCAGTGAATTAATTGCTCCTTCCTGTGCTGAACTATTTTTTTTTTTTGTCTTGCATCAATATATGATAGTTCCTTTGGCTTAGGATATGTACTTATATGCTATCTAATTATTTTAGATTTGGCTTATTTATTTACTAGAGGGGGGAAAAGAGAGAGAGCGAGGGCAGGGGGAGGGGCAGAGGGAGAGGGAGAGAGAGAATCAAGAATCTTAAGTGGGCTCCACGCCCAGAGCAGAGCCTCAATTCGGGGCTCAATCTTACAACCCTGAGATTATGACCTGAGCTGAAGTCAAGAGTTGGATGCTTAACCGACTGAGCCACCCCAATGCCCCTAGATTTAGCTTTTTAAAAAAGGAATGATTTGTGTATTTGTGTTTGTGTGTTTTAATGAAAAGCATGTTTTTTCAGGTTACATAACAGCATGAAGTAACACAAATTATTACTGAGATGTCTTTCAAGCAAAAACTTGGAGACTGTATTTTACTTGTGTGCCTGCTTGTGTGCTGTCTCTGTAATAGGCTCAGTACACTGTGTTCAAGTGTGATTGTATCATTATCACTATCACTTTCCCTTTCATATGAGAGGTTTAAAGACTGGTGTAAATACCCATGGGAAACAAGTTGGAAGTCCACAGCTGGAACTACTTCAAGCAAGAATAAGACACTAAAAGTGTGAAAGGGAACACCACCTTGTTTCTTCTCTTTTTTTTTTAACACCGCCTTGTTTCAAAAACAATGTTTAGGGGAACCTGGGTGGCTCAGTCGTTAAGCATCTGCCTTAGGCTCAGGTCATGATCCCAGGGTCCTGGGATTGAGCCCCGCATTGGGCTCCTGCTCAGCGGGAGGCCTGCTTCTCCCTCTCCCACTCCCCCTATTTGTGTTCCCTCTCTCGCTGTGTCTCTCTGTCAAATAAATAGGTGGAATCTTAAAAAAAAAAAAAATTTAAAAATACAAAAAATACGAAAACAGTGTTTAATAGATCCTCCTGTGCACAAATCTGAGTTGATCATATTCTTCAGTCTGGATAAGGCCTGTATTAGTCTGCTAGGTTGCCATAACAAAGTACACTAAATTGGATGGCTTCAACAATAGAAATTTTTTTTCTCAGTTCTGGAGATTGGAAGTCCTAGAACCATATGCCAGCTGGATCATTTCTGGTGAGGTCTCCCTTACGGGCTTGCTGACAACTGTCTTCTCTCTGTGTCCTCACAGGGAGGAGAAAGAAAGGAGGGCAAACTCTCTGGTGTCTCTACTTGTAAAGACCTTAATCCCATCATGAAGGCCCCACCCTCATGACCTTGTCTAACCCTAATTACCTCCTGAAGGCCCCATTTCCAAATACTATCACGTTAGGGATTAGGACTTCAACATATGAATTTTTGGAGAACACAGACACTCAGTCTGTAACTAAGCTGTCTTGTGTTTTTTGTGTTATGACTCCTACTCTCCCTGTAATCCTGCCCCCTTCCTTCCCTGTAGGCACATTCTAGGAGAGTTAATGAGAGTTCTAATTCACCTTCTACACACACAGCTACATACTTGTTTGGTGTGGTATGATGTAGATTTAAAAGGTTATATAAATGATATAGAGTTCATTTAATTTTTACTCTTTTTCTACACTCAAAATTACATTTTTGAGATTTATTCATGTGGTTATATGTAAATCTAGTTTATTGCTTCTGACTAATGCACCAGTTATATGCACACACCATATATTATTTTTATCTATTCCCTTAGTGATTAACAGATTCAACTTTCTTTTTTAGAGAGAGCAAGAGAGCGAGTGAGAGAATGGGGGGTTGGAAGGAGGGGCAGAAGGAGAGAGAGAGAATCCCAAGCAGGCTCCACGCCTAGCACAGAGCTCTACATGGGGCTCGATTCTATGACCCTGAGATCACGACCTGAGCTGAAATCAAGAGTTGGATGCCCAACTGACTGAGCCACCCAGGCGCCCCCAGATTCAACTTTTTAAAAGATAAGGTTCTTTTAATCCCTAAAGATTTCAGGAACTTTGATCCCCCAAATGGTGTTACAGCCCACAGTGCTGTTGTACAAAGAATAATAGTGTCAGTCCTTAATGTTTGAATTTTCATCTGATTGTTCTCAAGTTGCTGTAATCAAAATGCCTGGCATTCAGGATTTCTTTGTGTTTCTTCATAGGTAGTACTGGTAGTGTGCAGGGGCCTAGGAGGTCAGAACAAACTAGTACTCTGCCCAGAATATTCTGAAATGAATAGCTGTGAATTATGATTTCATTTGTTCAGAATGTTTGTCCACTTGATATACTTCCCTTTTCTTGCTTAATTTCAGGACCACTAAGTCATCTAGCTGGAATAATAATCAGACTGATTACTCCAGTCTCAGTGATTCCCAGTTCCTCTTTGGATCCCAGTTCTGTCCAGAAAGTTCAGAGACTCTGTCAGCACCCTTGGACAGTGTCCACTTGAGACAACCAAAACAGTCACAACAGAATTCTCTGGACGTGAGTCTCATTTCCAGAATTTCTCTGCACACATTTCATAATCATTATGGAGATAAGCTATAAAGAAGACTTATTCTGTTGAATTATATTTTAGAATTATACATCTCTAAGGATTACTCTCCTAAATGGATTTGCACTTGATTGTTAACTCAGTAGTCTGAGAGACTTGGTAGTCTGAAATACTATATCGACTAAGTCAGCCAGGCACCTGATTAGCTGATATATATATTTTTAAGATTTTATTTATTTATTTGAGAGAGAGAGAGAGAGCGAGCACAAGCAGGGGGAGCGGCAGGCAGAGGGAGAGGGGAGAAGCAGACTCCCCAGTGAACAGGGGGAGTCCTGATGTGATGCAGGACTCAATCCCAGGACCCTGAGATCATGACCTGAGCCAAAGGCAGATGCTTAACAGACTGAGCTACCCAGGTGCCCATAACTGATATTTTTAATATCTCTGGGCTGGTAAGGCAGAAACCTTATTAATAAAAAGAGTTGCTTTATTTTCATGTAATTTTCTGATGTATATGAAATAAAAAGGAAATACTACATGCCATCTTGTTTTTTATATTATGGTTTGCACTTAAATGTGACTCTACATTGTGTAGAAAATAGTGAATGCTATAAATATTTTCATGTGTGAAATGCTGTGATTTTTTTTTTCATTTAACAGAGTGAACCTAGTATTTTCACAAAGTACCAGACAAAACCCCAGCTGTTTGGAGGAGATACAAACGACAGAGGCTTATTTCCTCTTCCTTTGTCAGTTGGAAAATCAAAGGGCCTCTTGGAACAGTTTGAAGAGAAAAAGAAAAGGGCAAAAGACAAATGTGACAGGTATGCAAACCTTTCAAGTGGAGGAGACATCTCATCTCTTTTGAGGAAAACAGAAAATGGAATATTAATAGTCAAATAATTCTATTTCAGTGTGATAACACTCTTGCCTTTATAGCTCATCTAATAATTACTCTTTATTTGCTTACTTGTCAGTGTGACTTGTGGCAGGTTTGAATTTAGCTGCCACAGTTCTGGCCCTCTGCAAAAGTAAGCTAAAGGACTTATTAGAGAAATACAATATTCAAGTAATGTTATATTTATTTTGCCAAAATTCTGCCCTTTAATTTGTTATCTTTTCAGATCATCAGAGTTAGGAAATTAGATAACAGTTGTTTTAGGGTCAAGAATATAGCACATGAATTCTTTTTCTTTTTTAAATATGTAATGCTTCACAAATTTGCGTGTCATCCTTGCGCAGGGGCCATGCTAATCTTCTCTGTATGGTTCCAATTTTAGTGTATGTGCTGCCCAAGTGAGCACAGCACATGAATTCTTTAAAAAGCTGATTCAAGCTATTCAGGCTGGTTTTCTCACTTTGAAATGTTGGTATTTTTTTTTTTAAGATTTTATTTTTAAGTAATCTCTACACCCAATGTGGGGCTCAAACCCATAACCCCCCAAGATCAAGAGTCACATGCTCCACTGACTGAGCCAGCCAGGTGCCCCAAAATGTTGGTATTTTTTTAAATTTTATTTTATTATGTTAATCACCATACATTACATCATTAGTTTTTGATATAGTGTTCCATGATTCATTGTTTGCTTATAACACCCAGTGCTCCACGCAGAATGTGCCCTCCTTAATACCCATCACCAGGCTAACCCATCCCCCCACCCCCCTCCCCTCTAGAACCCTCAGTTTGTTTCTCAGAGTCCATAGTCTCTCATGGTTCGTCTCCCCTTCTGAATTCCCCCCCTTCATTTTTCCCTTCCTAATATCTTCTTCTTCTTCTTCTTTTTTTAACATTATAATGTATTATTTATTTCAGAGGTACAGGTCTGTGATTCATCGGTCTTACACAATTCACAGCACTCACCATGGCACATACCCTCCCCAATGTCTATCACCCAGTTACCCCATCCTCCCACCCCCCACCACTCCAGCAACCCTCAGTTTGTTTCCTGAGATTAAAATGTTGGTATTTTTTAAGATATACCCTAAATTTTATTCAGTCTTATTTGTTAGTTTTATATTTATTCATTTACCTTAGCAAATACATGAGATAAATTAGGGCTCCTATATTAATTTATAAATAAATAAGTTGAAGTCACCAAAGAAATTAAGTTGTTCATTTCTTGGCAATAAGTTCTCCGGGAACAACTTTAGGTGTCATGGAAAATATAACACTTAAGCAGAAATATACTTTATTATTTCTGTGACAGTGAAGATGTATCACTTAGTGTCACCACTAGTACTTTTATGTTGAAAGAGCCAGAATTTCTTTAAGGATTCTTAGACTAAGTATCCTTTCTGTTGAATACCTATCTTCCTTTAGTGAGAAAAGCAAAATGCTCTATTTGAAGTGTTTGATTCTGTTGGTAAATAAACATTTCCCAGGCATTGAGAGACTTCTTTCCCCTAGGAATCCAGGCTCTAGGACCCTACCAGTTTCTCAGAGGCCCCTCATGGCTATAGTAGGGTACTGCAGAGTACTCACCTTCTTACTCCTTCAGATAGATCAATGTTAAATTTTTTTGTTCTCTAGGCATGGGATTATATTTTGTTTGATCAAGATTTCTGCAGCAGGGGCAGGCTGGCTAACTCTGTTGGTAGAATATGTTGGATGTAGCAGTTACTTAAAAAAAAAAGATTTCTGCAGCTAAAAAAAGTTTTGTTTTTTTTTAAGATTTTATCTATTTATTTGACAGAGACAGCGAGAGGGAACACAAGCAGGGGGAGAGGGAGAAGCAGGCTTCCCACTGAGCAGGGAGCCTGATGCGGGGCTCGATCCCAGAACCCTGGGATCATGACCTGAGCTGAAGGCAGACGCTTAACCACTGAACCACCCAGGCCCCCCCTAAAAAAAGTTTTTTTGAAACGTTAATTTTCTCTCAACATTTTCTTCTTTCCTTCGTTTCTCTGTCTCTCTCTCTCTCTGTATCGTTTCCTTCTCTTTTTTTTTGTAGTGAAATGAGTTTCTGTTAACAATTATTTACAAGATAGCAAAAAATATATAGCACAAATAGAACAAATAATGAGGACTCTGAAAAATCTCTCTCCATTAAAAAATTCAAGCTTAAGATATTGACTTATATGATAGGCAAAAATAATCATAATTTTAATAAATTCTGGCAAAAATAAAACCCAATATTTTATTTTATTATTATTACTTTTAAAGATTTTATTTATTTATTTTAGAGAGAGAGAGCATGAGGGGCACTGTGTGGCTCAGTCGTTAAGCGTCTGCCTTCGGCTCAGGTCGTGATCCCAGGGTCCTGGGATCGAGCCCCGCACTGGGCTCCTCACTCTGCAGGAGGCCTGCTCCTCCCTCTCCCACTCCCCCTGCTTGTGTTCCCTCTCTTGCTGTGTCTCTCTCTGTCAAATAAATAAATAAATCTAAAAAAAAAAGAGAGAGAGAGCACGAGCAGGGGTAGGGGCAAACAGAGAGGGGCAAAAGGAGAAGGAGAGAATCTCAAGCCGACTCCACTCTAACTGCGGAGCCTGATGTGGGGCTCCATCCCACGACCTTGAGATAATGACCTCAGCCAAAATCAAGAGTCTGTCTCATAACCGACTGAGCCACCCAGGTGCCCCAAAACTCAAGATTTTAGATTTTTTTGTTTGTTAATTAGTGCTTGTCAGAAATGTGGTAAGAATGGGGTACCTGACTGGCTCAGTTGGTAGAGCATGCAACTCTTGATCTCAAGGTCATGAATTCAAGCCCTGTGTTGGGTGTGGAGACTACTTAAAAAAAAAATGTGAGGGGCACCTCTGAGGGTGGCTCAGTTGGTTAAGTGTCTGCCTTCGCCTCAGGTCATGGTCCCAGGGTCCTGGGATCGAGCCCTGCATCGGGCTCCCCACTCAGCAGGGAGTCTGCTTCTCCATCTGCCCTCCCCCGCCCCCTGCTCATGGTTTCTCTCTCTCAAATAAATAAAATCTTTTTTAAAATGTGAGAAGGAGGGATGCCTGGGTGGCTCAGTCGGTTAAGCGACTGTCTTCGGCTCAAGTCATGATCCCAGGGTCCTGGGATCGAGTCCCACATTGGGCTCTTTGCTCAGCGGGGAGCCTGCTTCTCCCTCTGCCTGCCATGCACTCTCTCTCTCTCTGGCAAATAAATAAAATCTTAAAAAAATAAAAATAAAAAATAAAAATGTGAGAAGGAGTGAAAAATTTTTAAATGAGAGAGAGAATACATACCACTGTAAATTTGGAAGCAGGAAAGTGATAAGACATGGTGCAGAGTTCAAACATAAGAGATGCTACAAACCTATAAGACATATTGTGTTTTGAAAATACATGTTTTCCCAAAATTATAGAGAAGACATATAAGGGAAAGAAGTCTCAAAAGAAGCCTAGCGTGCCGGGGTGGCTCAGTTGGTTAAGAAACTGCCTTTGGCTCGAGTCATGATCCCAGGAGTCTGGGATCAAGTCCCACATCAGGCTCCCCCTGCTCTGCAGGGAGCCTGCTTTTCCCTCTCTCTCTGCCTGCCGCTCCCCCTGCTTGTGCTCTCTCTCTGTCAAATAAATAAATAAAATCTTAAAAAAAAAAAAGCCTAATTGATTAGCTCAGATTGCGTTTGTAATGACTCTTTTGATAGCAAATAGAAACTCACCTCAAACTGGCTTTGACAAAACAGGGGATTTATTAGTTCTTTTAACCAATCTGGGAAGGACAGGGAATGAAATGAAATCAGAATCTCTTTTCTGTGCTTCTCCCTCCATCTATACTTTATTCTTTCCTATTAGAGACCAGCTTCCTACCAACACAGAGAAAGAGGGAGTCTTTTCCCTTAGTTTGAATCTGAAAAATCTTAGTGGAAGCTTATGATAGGCTTGCTTAGATCATAGGGGTGAAGTGTGACTGCAAGTCTTCACCAGAACCACTTTTGGATGCAGAAAGACGCAGTTTCCCATTAGAGGAGGATTCTGGGCACATCAAACAATGGATGGCCATGACCCAGATTATTGGTTTTTTTGTCCGTAATATTTGAGAAAACAGATCAGTCTCATAACTAATAAATCACCTAAGTATTACAAGTAGAATATAAAATAGCCATGTTCTTTTAGTAATTGTTGATCACCATAGTGAAGTTTATTCATTCATTTACTAAATAAACACTGTGCTAGGTCCAGTACTACAAATTTATCTTTGTAGTTCTTAGTCTGGTTAGGCAAACAGACATTTGATGGATAAATAATACAATTAGGCCAGAATTATTGGTTGAAAGCAATAGAAATAAATTAATTTAAATGGAAAAGGAATTTATTAAAAGGATATTTGAATGGGTTCTGGTTCTAGGTATGACAGAGTAAGCATACTCCATCCTCTCTCTCCCACTGAATGCAGCTAAAAGCCCTGGACACAGTCCAGGTGGCATTTAAGGACTCTGAAAAGTAAATGGTAACAATTGGGGAAGAAAACCTGAATTCAAAGTATGAAAGTTCTGGCTTAGAGTTTCCTGTGTTTTGTTTGTTTTAAGCAAAATTCAAAGTGTTTGTTCTAATCACTATTAAGAGAATGAAAAGACAAGCTACAGGGACACCTGGGTGGCTCAGTCTGTTAAGTGTCTGTCTGCCTCTGGCTCCAGTCATAATCTCAGGGTCCTGGGATCCAGCCTCACATTGGGCTTCCTGCTCAGTGGGGAGTCTGCTTTTCCCTCCTCCTTTGCCCCTCCCTCCTCATGTTCTCTTTCTCTCTCAAATAAAAAAAAAATCTTAAAAAAGAGAAAAAAAGAAAAATGGGGCACTTGGGTGGCTCAGTCATTAAGCGTCTGCCTTCGGCTTGGGTCATGATCTCAGGGTCCTGGGATCGAGCCCTGCATTGGGCTCCCTGCTTAGTGGGGAGCCTGCTTCTCCCTCTCCCACTCCCCCTGCTTGTGTTCCCTCTCTCGCTGTCTATCTCTCTCTCTCTGTCAAATAAATAAATCTTTAAAAAATAAAAAATAAATAAATTTACAAAAAAAAAGCTACAGAATGGGAAAAATATTTTAAACATTTTCAGCAAAGGACTTATATTCAGAATATAAAAAAGAACTCTTAAAACTTAATAAGTAATAAGCAACTCAATAAAAAATAGGAAAAGATTTTAACAGATACTTCAAAGACAATATATGGATAACAGGGGTACCTGGCTGGCTCAATTGGAAGAGCATGTGACTGACTCTTGGTCTCGGGGTTGTGAGTTCAAGCCCCACGTTGGATGTAGAGATTACTTAAATAAACTTAAAAAAAATACATATGGATAACTAGAACATGAAAATGCTCATTACAAAAATACTCATAATGATGCTCAGCATCATTAGCCATTTTGGAAATACAA